TTGTCGCACCCAGAGGAGCCCGAACGACCCCCACACAAGGAAGGGCCCCAACGAGTCACGCCAGGACGAACGGCCCCAAAGACGCACAGAAAACTCCAGAACCATAGCAAACAAACGAACGGCCCGAACGACTCCTAGAACACCCCCCAGAACAACAAGGGACCCGACCGAGGGAGAGTGGGCCCGCCCTTCAGGCCAAACGTGGGAAATCGTCGGGATCATCGTCGGGGGAAAACAAACGCGGCGGCAGCCAAGACGGCCGCCCGGAGCGAGAGGCAAGGACGTCGTCGTCGTAGTCGTCGTCATCGTCGTCGTCGTCGTGAACTACTGACTCTAACGCAAAACTTGAGAGAAGACCGCACACGATTCAACATGACACAACACAATCAACACAACATGACATTTCTGAAACGTGCCACTCAGGAATCGCCAACGGACTGTAATGTCAATTATCAGCCGTTCAACACTTAGAAACCCTGTGATAACCCTGGAATATATTTGAAACTGGACCAACCACAACCTTGTATAGTACTATACCCTGAAAATCGAGGAAGCGTGCACCACGGTAGCAAGCTAGACCGCAAGGCCCTGGATACCCTGAGACAAATACGCCACAAACCACTACATTGACTGTGGCGGGATAGCCCGACGCTCATGCTGACAGCCTGGAGCTCTTGAATACCTGCATGCCCCCTTCAGCACATTGTACTCCTGCAAGAGTTCCGAGCCTTCTACCTGCTGCACTGTTTCTCCGTTTTTCCATAGGACAAGGCGGCGCAATTCAGCCACCACGTTGCGTAGCGCTCGGCGCGTCAACTGCACACGAACGCGGCGCACGAAACTTGGAACTTCGACTCTCAGACCTCGACGTGGGCCGGATCGACGTCCAGAGGAAAAATGGCGAGCCCCCTCACTCCCTTGGGGAAAGGAGGGGAACAACGTTCAACTTCTGTGTAATTCTTTCTGTGCCTTCTTAGTGTGTGTCTATACGTATTTGATGTGTGAATGTTTCTGCTTTGAATGTATGCGTGTATATGCATGAAGGGACCGCACCGAACCGAGAACCGAGAACCGTGACCGAACCGGACCGAACCGGTCCAAAACCACGAACGTAGAAAACCGAACCGGACCGAACCGAATTCATTCAGAACCGAACCGGCGAGGACCGAACCGAACCAGAACCAGAACCGAACCGGAACCGGGCGGCCCCTGAACCGAACCGACGGGAACCGAACCTAACCCCTCTGGCGGGCTGCGACCCCCCTGGCGGGCTGCGATCCACCTGGCGGGCGCGACCCCCCTCGCGGGCTGTGACCCCCCTGGCGGGTGCGACCCCCCCGCGGGTGCGACCCCCCTCGCGGGTGCGACCCCCCTGGCGGGCGCGACCCCCCTCGCGGGTGCAACCCCCCTGGCGGGCGCAACCCTCCTGGCGGGCGCAACCCCCCTGGCGGGTGCAACCCCCCTGGCGGGCGCAACCCCCCTGGCGGGTGCAACCCCCCTGGCGGGTGCAACCCCCCTGGCGGGCGCAACCCCCCTGGCGGGTGCAACCCCCCTGGCGGGTGCAACCCCCTGGCTGGCGGGCGCAACCCCCCTGGCGGGTGGGCGGGTGCAACCCCCCTGGCGGGTGCAACCCCCCTGGCGGGTGCAACCCCCCTGGCGGGTGCAACCCCCCTGGCGGGTGCAACCCCCCTGGCGGGTGCAACCCCCCTGGCGGGTGCAACCCCCCTGGCGGGTGCAACCCCCCTGGCGGGTGCAACCCCCCTGGCGGGTGCAACCCCCCTGGCGGGTGCAACCCCCCTGGCGGGTGCAACCCCCCTGGCGGGTGCAACCCCCCTGGCGGGTGCAACCCCCCTGGCGGGTGCAACCCCCCTGGCGGGCGCAACCCCCCTGGCGGGTGCAACCCCCCTGGCGGGTGCAACCCCCTGGCGGGTGCAACCCCCCTGGCGGGCGCAACCCCCCTGGCGGGTGCAACCCCCCTGGCGGGTGCAACCCCCCTGGCGGGTGCAACCCCCCTGGCGGGTGCAACCCCCCTGGCGGGTGCAACCCCCCTGGCGGGCGCACCCCCCTGGCGGGTGCAACCCCCCTGGCGGGTGCAACCCCCCTGGCGGGTGCAACCCCCCTGGCCCTGGCGGGGTGCGACCCCCCTGGCGCAACCCCAACCCCCCTTGCAACCCCCCTGGCGGGTGCAACCCCCCTGGCGGGGCGCAACCCCCCCGAGGCGCGACCCCCTGGCGGGCGCGACCCCCGTGGCGGGCGCGACCCCCCTGGCGGGCGCGACCCCCGTGGCGGGCGCGACCCCCCTGGCGGGCGCGACCCCCCTGGCGGGTGCAACCCCCCTGGCGGGCTGCGATCCCCCTGGCGGGCGCGACCCCCCTGGCGGGCTGCGACCCCCCTGGCGGGTGCGACCCCCCTGGCGGGTGCATCCCCCCTGGCGGGTGCAACCCCCCTGGCGGGCGCGACCCCCCTGGCGGGCTGCGACCCCCCTGGCGGGCGCGACCCCCCTGGCGGGCTGCGACCCCCCTCGGGGCTGCGACCCCGCTCGGGGCGCGACCCCCGTCGGGGCACGTCGTTGGAGGGCCTCGCGCCTCCACGCCTCCACGTTTCTCTTCCTCCTCCTCCTCCTCCTCCCCCTCCTCCTTCTCCTCGTCGTCGTCCTCCTCCTCCCTCCTCCGCCTCCGCCTCCGCCTCCGCATCCGCCTCCTCCTCCTCCTCCTCCTCCTCCTCCTCCTCCTCCTCCTCCTCCCTCCCTTTTTTTCAAACTGGGTCGTCGCTTACGCAGACGGGGCGCCCAACGTCGCACCTGACCAGTCGGGCCGAACCGAACCGGAGCGGCCACTCGAACCGAACCGAACCGGTCGGACCCAACCGCGCGAAAACCGGAACCGAACCGAACCGGCGGCAGGCCCAAGCCGAACCGGCCGAAACCGGACCGATGCCAAACCGAACCGGCCAAGCAAAACCGACCCGGCTGCAGAACCGGACCGAACCGAACCGAGCCGATCCCTTCATGTATATGTATGGAGGAGAATCAACGCCCTGATGTCGCAATGAGGAGGAATCGTGCCGACAAAACCTCGAGAGTGGCGCGTCTCTGAAATATCTCGCGATGACCGCCGCGCCTGCATGTCACCGAGCGATAGCCGCCACGACTTCCTGCTGACACGAAAGCGGAGCGAATGGAGAAGGATATGACATGCATCATAACCAAAAGTGGCAAGCCCGTAGCCGTGATGGACTACGTGCGGTACTTGCGCAACACAGGCACCTCGTGCCAAAAGCACATTAGGCGCGTGCGTTCGGCTCGCAAGCCAAATCACCATTGACGTCGTGGTCGTCGTCAACGTCGTTGTCTCGACGTCGTCGTCGTCCTGTCGTCCTCGTCGACGTTGTCGTGGTGGGCTGAGCTACGCTCACTACCCTCGCGGCGTAGGCCTGCCCATCACGTTCCAGGCCATGCGAACCGAAGTACATCGCGCCGACCGCACTGTCGAAGCTCAAAATGATGCGAGAATGCCGACAACCGACATTCTGCGCGAGCGCTCCAAGGACCTCCCGTAGCGAGGAAGAATACGAAAACGCACGGGCGCTTCTCCATGCCAGCCGCAAAGATGATGCTACTAGGCGGAGACGATTACTGAAGGCGGAACGCAGCTCACGGCCACCCTGAAATACTGGGAGCCAGAATGGCAACGACAACGACGCTGGTCGGGAAAAATCGCTGGACTCGACGACGACCGCCCTCTGTCTTGCCTCCCATCTCCTTCCCTCCCTCCTCCTCTTCCGACTCGTGCTGCTTCGGCTCCCCCCACAGGTAGCTATACAAGGACGGAGAAAGAAATAGGAGCAGAGAATATATGTAAAGACAGACAGACGCACGCTTGCACCAAACGACTGTCGGCATGCTTCGCTGGGATTCCTGTTCGGAGATAGTACTGCTACTACTGCTTCTACATCGACTACTACTACTACTACTACTACCACTACTACTACTACTACTACTACTACTACTACTACTACTACTACGACTACTACTACTACTACTACTACTACTACTACTACTACTACTACTACTACTACTACTACTGCTACCACTACTCCTACGACTACTACTACTACTACTACTGCTGCTACTACTAGTACTACTGCTGCTATGACTGCTACTCCTGCTCGTACTACTACGAGCACTACTACTTCTACGACGACAACTACTTCTACTGGCACTGCTACTAGTAGTGTCGCTGCTACTGCTACTACTACTACTACTACCACTACTCCTGCTACTGCTACTACTACTACTAATACTACTCATACTACATCATCTGCTACTAGTACTTCTACTAGTACTACTCCCCCTACTACTACTACTACTACTACTACTACTACTACTACTACTATTACTACTATTACTACTAATACTACTACTACTACTACTACTCCTACTACTACTACTAATAATACTACTACTACTACTACTACTACTACTACTACGACTACAACTACTACTACTACTACTACTACTACTACTACTACTACTACTACTACTACTACTACTACTACTACGACTACTACTACTACTACTACGACTACTTCTACGACTCCACCTGCGCAAACCCCGATCACCTCGCGCGCGGACGAGGTGCCCCAACGCCTCACCTCACAACAAGGATTACAAGGAGGCGGGAGGAAAGAGGGACAGGGGAGACATACGGAGCCCAGCGGACACACGCCGGAAAAACACAACTGTCGACATGCTTCGCGAGAGCTGCTGCTGTGAGATGGGCTGGTGGGGATACGCGAAGCGTAAAGAATTGGTTGTCCTAGACAACTTTTGAAAGATGTTGGTATGTGCTTCTTTTGGAGCTTCGACGGCCCAAGACGGCCCAAGAGACCCCTTAGGATCGCCCAAGATCGCCCCAAAAGTTCCTAGATGACCCTATGGCGACTCACTCTCCTCCTCGTCCCCGTCCTCCCCAACGTGTTCCCCGAATGCTTTCCAAACCGATTCGGGGAACACATGGTCCGCTAGCTTGGCAGAGCTCTGGCCTCAACGCGCGGCCACATAGGCGCTTCCGAAAGGGTAGGGGCCGTCGGTGACTCGCCGTAGGAGTCTCCGATAAAAAAAACATCGCTGGTGAATCTGGAGAAGCCGATCAACCATCGCACCGTCGGTTGTATCTAACATCGCTTCATACTTAGAACCAAATGCCACTCCGTATATCACCCCTTGGAAACACTCCTGCCCTTTCAATTTCTTCACTTGATTGGCAAGATCCCCAAGAAATTTAACGAACATATTTTGCCTGCAGAATCCACAAGTTATTGAATTGTCAATGGCGCTGTAGCTGGCAAGCTGTACTTCAGATGCCAAACAATCACCCGTCCCGTAAGGCCAAGGAACTTCAGACTCCTTTGCTGCGCAGCTCCGGCTGTGATTGGATGCGAGGAACAGGCTTGCTGATATGGGTACCCCTACTCCTGGCAATGTGCTATCCGCGCAAATGCCCGAATAAGTGCTTTCCAACGGCGTAATGATCTTGACGTGGATGAAGTGGCCACCGGACTCAGGCCATTGATAGACCTCTAGCTCAACCGACTGTGGTAGCCTCACGTGCACCACACTCAACTTGGCGCCCTCGCGATCGGGCAGGACGGCATCCCCCGAATTATCCCTTTTTGCCTCGACGAGCTCGTTCGAAAACTCGGTGTCCAGGTCACTGAGGATGGACTCCTCCGATCCGTCAGCTTTACGCCATGTTACGCCTGTCGCGGAGATGTGGAGGACGTTCCCCGTCAAGGCAGAGCCACCGATGGCAATCTCTTTAAGGACGTTAACGTACTCCGTCTGCCCATCGCTCAACCTGCCAGTCCGGGCCTGAATCTGGACGTCGTCCATCCGGACCAGCCACAGATCCCCCTCGAAGACGAACGTGACGTCGCTGCGATTGTCCCACGTCGAGAAGGACGCGTTCGCGGCCCCGTGCCGCACCGCCAGGTCCCCCCAGAGGACGCACGCGCTGCGGCCGTCGGAGGCCTTGACGATGACCTCGGGCCAGGCGGCGGCCACGGCTCCCGCAGGAGCTCCCCCGCGCCCGGCCACCGCCAGGAGCACCAGCGACGCCGCGGCCGCGGCCAGCGCTGCGGCGGCGGCCTGCCTGCGGGCGGTGCTGCGCGCGGCGAGCCCCGCCAGCTCGGCGTCGCTATCAGTGGCGAGCGGGCTCGGCGGGTGCGGCCTCCGGCAGGCAGCCATGGCGCGGCCGGGCGGGAGGGACCTCTGGGTAAGAGTGACCTTTGGTGCGCGCCTCTTGGGGGGCCGCGGGGTGGACCAGACCTGGGCGCGAACGCAGCTGCGACTGCCTTCGTTGTCAGACAGCTGAGGGCCCCTCTGTGCCCGCACCAAATCGGGGGTGGACAAACCTCCCTTTAGTAAAACGTGGCTTAGTGACAACGACCTGAGGCCCAAACCTGGCGGGCGCAGGCCTGGAAAATAACGGCCACGGCGCCCTCTCGAGAACCGAAAACGGACAATTCACGAATCGACGTGTCACTGTTGGGGGGTCTGTCCGCCCCCGACCAAAGGTCACTCCGGCGAAAGGTCCCTCCGGCGAAAGGTCACTCTTACGCCCAGTCGAGAGGAGCGGACGGGGGAAGGCGATGGAAACGAACATGGCCTGGAGCGCTGGCCGCCCAGCTCCGCACCATGAGCCAGCGCGGCCTGAGACGGATCCGGGGCGAGAAACCGCACCAGCCGAGCGGAATTGCCCTGCCCCCCCCCCTGGTTGACCGATACTCTCCGGGCCCAACCAGCCTGGACCCCCTGGCTGCCTCCAAAAGGTCAAGGTCATCCGATCGCTTCCCATCCGAGCGTGGTCCCCCAAGATCTGGGCGTTGCAATTGTCCACGACTCCCGACGTCGTGGTTCCTGTTCTAGCACTGGGGCCCTCGCATATCGATCCGGCTCGAAAAGGTGGCGCAGACAGGTGGGTCCAGAGCTCTGAGAGAACGCGTTATACGGGCGCTTGCCTTGGAAACATTTGGCGGCGCGTTTCGAACAAGGGGGGGGGCCCCAACACTCGGCGCCGTCGATCAGAACCAGGGGAACTCCCCTCCCCCTTCAGAACCCGGGGATCCCCCCTCCCCTAACCCTCCCTCCCGACCCCCGCGCGAGGGTCACATTGCAACCAGAGCGGCCACTTCACAACCAGATGGGGCACTTCACAACCAGCATGGTTTTTTTTTCCAGAAAGGGCACATTGAAACCAGCATGGCCACTGTACAACCAGGCAACCAGGCGAGTAAACGCATATAAGCGACACGTGTTCTTCAATTTCCGTTATCTCCGTGGGTCCACGCAAGGGAGACACTTCGCTTTCTGAAGCGTGTTGGTTGTAGAGTGACCCGTCTGAAACGATAATCTGTGAAGTGGCGGGTTCTTAGTGGGATCCTACAGGAATCAGATTGGAATCCTATCGGCACCCTTCCCACTGGGATCCTGTTGGCCCCATATGAATCCCATTGGTATCCAACAAGATTCCTCGATATTGGGCATACGGGCGTCCTGTTGGGAAATCCGATACGGATGCGTCCTATTGAAACCCGCTGGGGCCCTTCCTAATGAAAACCGATTGGAATCTCCATTGTATTACAATCGTAAAACCTTCCTCTTGGACTGCTGCGAGAAACTTACAAGGGGCACTATGGAAACACGATTTGTATTCTTGTGGCTTCTCGTTCGAAAGCAAAAGGAACCGCCTCTCTAAGAATCCGATCAAAACCATATTGGCGAGTACGACAGATGTAGCATTGTAATAGAATCGGAATTACTCCTTGTCGGTCCACACGGGCATATTTCTGGGATCCCACCAGGAGCCAACTGCAACTCGAAAAAACCTGTCCCCTTTGATTCATCTTGTGCCCCGATTAGCGTCGTATAACTATCCCTGCGGTCTCCACAAGGAGCTATTGGAACCCAATTGAGATCGAATAGATACCCTCCCGCTACAGGCTGGTAACAGGCCTGGGGGGGCATGTTTCCCAACCCTCCTGAGGTGCTGGGCACTCGTTTTGAATAGAGCAGTGTGGTCTCCACCTCTTCCTCCTCCTCCTCTCCTCCTCCTCCACCTCTCCTCCTTCTCTCCTGTTTCCTGTGTTCCCTTCTCCTCTTCTCTCGTGCCGTCTGCGATCTGCGCAACTGTCGCCACCTTTCGTGGGTTCCTGGGAGGCCCAGCGGAGGTGGGTCCCACGCAGACCACCTCGGTACCTCGCCGCCCCCTGGAAGGCTTGCGATCTGCGCAACTGTTGCCACTTCCGTGGGTTCCTAGGAGGCCCAGCGGAGGTGGGTCCCATGGGGACCACCTGGGGATTTCGCAGCTCCCTGGGGGGCTTGCGATTTGCGCAACTGTCGCCACTTTCGTGGGCTCCTGGGAGGCCCAGCGGAGGTGGGTCCCACGCGGACCACCTCGGGACCTCGCCGCTACCTGGGGGGCGTGCGATCTGCGCAACTGTCGCCACTTTCGTGGGCTCCTGGGAGGCCCAGCAGAGGTGGGTCCCACGCGGACCACCTCGGGACCTCGCCGCTCCCTGGATGGCTTGCAATCTGCGCAACTGTCGCCACTTTCGTGGGTTCCTGGGAGGCCACGCGGACCACCTCGGGACCTCGCCGCTCCCTGGGGACCTTGCGATCTGCGCAACTGTCGCCACTTTCGTGGGCTCCTGGGAGGCCCAGCGGAGGTGGGTCCCACGCGGACCATTCTCGGGACCTCGCCGCCCCCCGGAGGGCTTGCGATCTGCGCAACTGTTGCCACTTTCGTGATTGGAGGATTGCGTGCCTCTTGGAAACAGCTTCGTGGCCCGTGGAAGGGTAGTCTTAGGGCCTCTTGGGGGCATTCGGGGGCCTCTTGGGCGCGAGCCTTCGCCTCGGAGGCGGGCGTTCGCGCAGGAAGCGAGCGTGCGCCGTGGAGGTGGGCGTGGGGTCCGGAGGAGGTCCCCTGGGATGCTCCCACACCTGGACGGGGCAGAAGAGGGGAGGGAGGAGGAGGTGGGAGGAGTCTCCACTTTGGGATGAGTCACCACCCCCGTTATGCACCTCATGCATTCGCCCCGCTCAGCGCAGCGCGTTGCTGAGTGAAATTGGTGTTCTGTTTTAGCCCTCGCCGCCGCGCCCCGTTGTATTCACTCGTTGGGCGCGTTTCTTTCAACGCCACCTGTGTGTCCGTTTTGCATGTTTGCCGCTGCTCATCTTGCTGCGCACTTCTGAAATCACTGCTGGGTGCTCTTTTGGCGCACTGCGAGTCCTTCATAATGCCAAGTCAGCATTGCATCGTCCTGAATATACTCGCCACATGTATAGAAAGGATTGGGTACGTCGCAAAGGTAATGTTACAGCCATGCCCTAAATCTACATCGGTTTCAAGAGCTTCACAACCTCCTGCCTGAACCATACCGGAGAAACACCCAAACACTTTTTTAAGGGCTGTAGGGCTATAGGGCTACATGGGCTATAGGGCTATTGGGCTATAGGGCAATAGAGCTACAGGGCTATACATATATATATATATATATATATATATATATAGGGGTGAAAAGGCTATAGAACTATAGAACTATAAGGCTATAGGGCTATTGAGCTGTATGGCTATACGACTATAGAGCAATAGAGCTGTAGGGCTATAGGGCTACTGGGCTATAGGGCCCCCCCGATAACACGGGCACCCCCCGGCACGCCCAGGCACCCGGGCACCCGGTCGTGCAGCGAAAGTCGGCGACAAACCTAAGCTAACCATATGAGTCCGCTAGGACCCCTACAGAGGCAAGCTCTGATTGGGGAAACTCCTGCTTCTTCTGGAAATGCAGTAAACGTTCGCTGAAAAAACAAGAGGACAATGTCGATAGCGGAAATGTGGTCACGACGTCGATAGTACAATTCCAGCCAATGCGTGCCGATGTTTTTATTGTTTGCGCCATTGACATATTTTGCCCACGTGCCTCATGCATCGTTTGGCAACGACACAACCGTATGTTCTCGCATGTGCGGCAACATGCACAGCCAGGAAACGGAAAAGTGGCCAAGAAATCGTTGGTCAATTTCTAGCCAATACACGTGGATTGCAACATGTTGTTCTTTATGCATGAGAACTCATGTTTGCCATCGCGCCTCATATTATGTACGCATGTTTGCGGAAACATGCGTGGCCAAGGGGGCGGACATCTTGCCAAGAAGCCGACTGGAAAGTTCTAGCTGGTACATGCGGATTTCGATTTGTGCGTCGGGCATCGCAGACAACTTTAGCCCTCGCGCATCGTCGCTCGGCAGTGGCGACATCGTACGGTTTCGCATTCGCAGTCGCGTGCGTACCAAGGAAGGCGGAAGTGTGATCACGCAATCGGTCGCAACATTCTAACCAATCCATGTAGATTTCAAATGGCTATTTTTGTGTATCACCAACCATGCTTGTCCTCGCGCCTCATCGTCTGAAAACCACGAGCGCCACAACCAAAGCATCCCACTTTACAACCAGAACGGCCACTTTACAACCCGGACAACCAGAACGGCCACTTTACAACCAGCCTTCAGAAGCGCGCGCGCGCGCTTTGCAGGGGCTTCTGGAGCTTCTGAGCGCCTGAACGCTCTGCAGAAGCATCTGAATGCTTGAGCGGCTTGCAGAGGCTTCTGAGCGCATGAGCGCTTTGCAAAAGGCACCTGGCCGCTTGAGCGCTCTTCAGAGTCTCCTGAGCGCCTGAGCGTTCTGCAGAGGCTTTTATGAGCGCTGGAGCGATCTGCTGAGGTTTCTGAGCGCCTGAACGCTCTGCAGAGGCTCCTGAGCGACTGAGCGCTTTGCAAAGGCTCCTGGGCGTCCGAACGCCCTGCAGGGGCTTCTGAGCGCCTGGGCGCTTTGCAGAGGCTTCTGAGCGCCTTGGCGCATTGCAGAGGCGTCCGAGCGCTCTGCCGCCTCTGCAAAGCGAGACCATAACATGCTTGTGCATTGGCTACAATTAAACCAACTATTTCTCAGGCACTTTCCGCCCACCTGCGTACGCATGCGTCCGCACTTGCGCAAACATGCGGCTTCCGATTGCCAGACGATGGGGCGCGAGGGCAAACGTGGTTTATGATGCAAAAGCACACCATTTGAAACTCAAACGCATTGGCTAGAGTCTGCAAGCGGCTTCTTGGCCACATGTCTGCCCTCCTGGGTACGCATGCTTCCGCGAATGCGGAAACATGTGGTTTTGCAATTACCAGACCATGACGCGCGAGGACGAACATTGCTTGTGAGGCAAAAAAACAAATTTGCATCCGCACGTAGTGGCTCGAATGTTACAATCGGGTCCTTGGCCACATTGCCGCCCTCCTTGGCACGCATGCTCTCAAACGAAAGCCAGGGAATTCGATCCTTCGGTGTTTGTACAGTGACCTACCTCGGTTGTGAAGCATGGTTCGGTCTGTAACGAGACCGAATATCCCCGACACCCCCCTCACCAGGGGGGGGGGAGTTCCAACACCCCCGCCCCGGGAAAAAGGCAGGAGATTCTGACTCCCCCAATGTTTTCTCTTCCGGCTTCCCGGGGGGAGGGGGTTCGATCCCCCCCCCTCTCTCTGGCGCCTTCGCTGGCGGCGGCCGGCAACACCAACGGCAGCCGCAGCGACGATGACCACAGAGAGCCCAGAAGCCGCCATGAGAAAATGCACATCGCCATATCGAGGGGTGCCCAGGAGC